GAGTAAATTTTACGATTCTTTTTCTACTCATTATGACAAATTTTTTAGTATTCTTGTCTATTTTATACCCACCTTACTAATTATGTTCTCCCATATTTTTGTATTCGCAAAATTGAAAAAACTTAAAAGAACTGTTAATGTTAAATCGCACGGATCAGATATTTCCACAAATATTGAAAGTAATTTAACGGTGGTCAATCAAAAAATTAGACCCAGCCACTTAAGCCCTAATGATCGGATCAATAAAGTGTTCAATAATAAAACAAATCCAAAATTTATTACTCTTCCAGCCCAAACAACTCCTTCTATAAGATCCTATCCAAAAAACGATCAAAATAGTAAAACCACAAAATCTGCAAAATTTTATCTAGACAAATACGTTCTCACTTTAGCTATTGGCATCGAATTTTTATTATTAAACTTACCATATGTTATTTATGTTTTTATGACAAGTCAATCTTGGGTGGAAGGAGCTTCAAGCAAGTTTGCCAGGATTCAAATTATAGTTAATTTTTTAAAGTATAGCAATCATTCCATAAATGTCTACATCAATATTATTTTTAATTCTACTATTAGAACTGTGCTAATGTTTCAATTAAACAAATTTTATATATCATACATAACAAGAACGGGGTTGACATCCACCAACGAGAGTTGAGTTTGATAATTTGAATTATTATTTATAGTATATATTATATAAATTATAATAATAAAACTAAATTTATATAATACTATAACAAAAGTTCAAAAATGGATATAATTATTACTAAAGTTGAACATTATGGGCTTATCATTAATTATAATATTATTTTAAATTTTGATATTATCTATTTGTCAACCTTTTAAAATATAAAATTTATTCAAAATAAAGTATTAAACTAAATTTTTCTGAAAACGTAAAGGAATGAAAGCAAATTTAGTTATTATTTTAGCTATTTTAAAAATGTTTATTTATTTTATTTTATTAGCTGTTCTGTTGGTCAATCATTTGTATAAAATGATAAATATTTTAAATATATAAATTAGAGATCTGCAAATCACAGCCCGGGTTAAGGTCGGGCCGGATCTATTTATAAATACTAATTTAGGTTCGGGTTGGGTCGGGCCTAATGTTTTTAAAAAATTCGGACCGGGGCGGCCAGGTTTAAATTTAAATATGATATTATTACATTTTATCAAATAAATTGATATATTTTAAAATTCTTGCAAGGAACAAGGCGCTAATATTTTTTATTTGTAGAATATTTTTTTATATTTAAATAAATTCGGGCCGGATCGGGCAGACAAATAATTTATATTTTAATTTAGGGTTTGGCTGGGCTTAAAAAATAAGGCCGATTTAGATCACTAATATAAATGAACTTGCAAGCTCGACCAATCCAGGTTTCGTTCCCAGTCCAGTTCCAAAACACGCCGAAAAATGGTATAATTTTTATAAATAGGCAACGGCGCTTAAAATTTAAAGAAATTAAAAATCAAATTTTGGAAAATTGTATAACTACTCTTTTAATATTCCTTTACTATTAATATTTTCAATTTTCCTTTAAAATAATTAGCAAAATAGCCAAAATTATCAAAATGAAATTTTGATAATTATGGTCCGGGCCGTATAATAATCAAAAATAAAATTTCGAACTGGGCCCATAATATTTCCAAATTTTTTTCTTAATGTTGGCCGTACCTAAAATTTTGACCACTGTATGTAAGTCTATGATAAATATAATATAATTTTATTATATCAAAAACATATGAAGAAAATATTTATAAATATAATATATAATATAAGATCATTTAATTATGAAAAAAGAGATATATAAGTAAATGGCCTTAAAATTAGTTGGCTATGGGAAACCTATATCTCAAAAAATTAGCATGTATTCCGGATTTCTTAGAAAATATATTTTTATAATGATACAATTTCTCTAAATAATTGAAAGCTTAGCAATTTAAAACAACCTTTAAAATTTTGATTGTTTTCTCCCATTATTTAGAAATTTTCCCCAGCAAGTCCCGAGACTAGATAAGACCAAACCCCTCAATTAAATTGAGAATAATTATAAATAAAAATAACACACATTTGGTTGTTTTATTTAAAAATTTTGGACATTTAAAAAATTTGTTCACTACATTAACCGTGTTATTTTTAAGCGGTTTCCAAAACCTAAAAAACACATTTATTAATTAAAAAATTGGCAAAAATAATAAATAAGATTTTTTTTAATAGAAAAATAATAAAGTGTTCATAAAAATTTGCAAACTTTCAAAAGTTTAGTTTGTATTTCTAAGAGATACATTAGATTTGTGCAATTTTTCCAGAAAAAAAGAGGCAAAAAAGAATTAATTGTATATCGAAATTTATGGTGCAACAAAGACTGTTTATATCAATCGAATTGAGAATTATAGCTAATAGATTATTTCTAGGAAGATATATTATATATAAATGAAAGTATTGGATAATGACTGAAAATATTGATAATAATAATTCATCTACAAAGGTATTGTCATTTTTATAATTTGACATTTAATAATTAGTTTATTAAATCTGAGAAATAGTAGAGATTGGCGATAGGTTTTTTTCTAAAGTAATAAACTCTAAGGACTAATTTTTAGTCAAAATATAAAATTATATAATATATATACGGCATAATTTTTATTTGCCCAAAATATATAATTATATAACGCATATTTTTTAATTGGACAACATTTAGAATTTCTATAATTGTATGATTTTTTTATGTTTAAAAATTTATTTTTTTCTAACTTATAAGAAATTTTATAATGTTGTATAAAATTAAAAGGCATTTCATGAAGCTATATAAAAAATATAAAATTTTTGAACCAAAATAATTTTTAGAAAAATTTAATTGTGATCCTAAAAAGGAACAATTAAAATTTATACAAAAATTAACTTATAGACTTTATATTTTTTCAAAAATGAAAATCAAGAAATGCTAAAAACCTAGAATATTATTCAAAAAAAAATTGGTGCTTTAAAACATGAAAATATCATTTTTAATGAGAGCGAAGGCTTGAGGCTATTTTTATGAGGTTGAAACGAGCCATTTTTACGTTTTTTCATACCAAATTTAAAATTTGTAATATAACTAGAAATTATTATTTAAAATTTTAACATTTATTTAATAACGTCATCCTTAATGGTTCATCCCTAGAATTTATTTTTAAATTAGCATACTCTAAAAATATTAGGGTTTGAGTAAATTCCTCAGGCAGAAAACCCACTTAAAATATTTTGTGGAGTCTTTTACCCAGAAGACTTGCTTCATAAATTTGCTATTTTACCTTTTGGGGTATAGTCCCAGTTAGCGAATGAGCTAAAATTTCTCCGATTTTTTCTAATATAAACCAGAAACCCCTAATGAAATTTATTCGGCACCTAAGAGTTGAGGATTACATTCTATAAATTTCATAAAATTTGAAAGGGTATACTTTTAGTACAAAAAAAATACCAAATATATAGGTTGGTAAAAAAAGCGAATAAATTATTTTTGATCAAGATTGTTTGAATGCTGGGTTATGACTTATGAGTACGTAGATAGTATGTCCTTTGACCAAATTTTAAACAATTTGCTCTAAAAATGAAAAAGTTATAAATGTTTGCCTTTTTACCCCACTTATAAACTCCTTCTCCTACTAATGTTATAGATTTTTATTTATCGAAAATAATCAGAAATTTTATTTGTACATGGACCACGAAATAAGGGCGATAGATCGGTAATTCATTGTTAATAACGTAGCTGTTTAATCTAACATTATATATTGTAAATTACGCCTCACTTGATCGACATCGTGGGTTCTCTAAAGAGGCCTTATTTATGATTTATTTATCAATTTCAATTGTAAACATACCTACTACAATATGGATTCTAAGATTAAACCTCAATTTACATATAATTCTTAAATTTGAATTCAAACAACTAAAAGTTAATTTTTTTTCTTTTCTCGTAAATATGGTTAAAATATTATTATTGCTTAATTTTTGAAATATATCAATTTACATTTTCAAGAACATGATAGTCTATAAATCTCTAATCTCTATCCAATAAATGATTGTAAATGCACCAATTATTATATTAATTCCCTTTCAGAGCATGCTATACATATTTTCCCAATTAAATATATTATAGCCTCATAATTTCTTTTAACCCCACTCTAAATATGGTTATAATTCGAGGTTTCGATTTCAAGGATCTTAAAGACTTTAGCCAGTTGGTATAGACATTTACTTGGCTATGAAATGAAAAATGCAAATTATAACTATTTAATATTATTACAGATTAGTATAATTCCTGCTTTATTGGTTTTATATTTCGCTTTGAGAACATAATATTAAGAAACTCGTGGAATCAAGGTTCCAGTCGTTTTAGGTGGAGAAATTAAACTTCGATTTTGTTTGTATGTCAATCCAAGAACGATTCTAATAGACAAAGACCCTTTGTCCTGATTGAAGTAGACTAGCTAGAATCCAAAATAGATTTAGTAATTCTAACAAAAATTAATTGAAAATTTTAGGTTTGCCTACTTTTAACTGTGGTTAATCAGCTTTTTTTATTTATAATTTAACCAAATATATTAAATAAGAAGATTATGATATTTTAAATGTTAAATTGGCTTTACAAGCTATGGATACTTTTTTGAGGGTGGATTTAATCTTCAAAATGAATTCGATTTTTTAGAATATAATTAGTTATCTCAAATTTTATATTCTTCGAAAATGTATTATCATAGATAATTATACTAATACGTCAGAATTAGTAAACAAAAATTTATGATTAAATTTTTATAATTTAATATGATTGTCTTATATAAAATTATTATTTTTAATTTATTATAAATTCGATATGAATTCTCAATAAAATTTCATCAATATTAAAATTATTTTGAAATGTCGCCATATTCCAATTCCCTTTATTTTTATAATCAAATTATAATTCAATTATCCAGTGAAAAACTTTTAAAAGATAAAACGAACATATAGGCTAATGGGAGAATCAAAAAATTCACGTCTTAGAGTATCCTATAAAGAAATTGAAGATACATATACAGTTGAACAAGCTATAGAAATGTTGGGTTTTGGTATGTTTCAAATCAAACTTTCTTTACTAACAGGATTAGCGTGGATGTCAGATGCCATGGAGATGATGATTTTGAGTATTTTATCCCCCGCTCTGCATTGTTCATGGGGTCTATTGGCCTGGCAAAGAGCGCTCATTACAACTGCGGTATTTATAGGTATGATGATCAGCTCTACGTTTTGGGGAAAAATTTGCGATAGGTTTGGCAGAAAGACGGCTCTTTTTATGTGTTCGTTGTTTACCTTTTATTTTGGGTTTTTGAGCTCGTTCTCGCCTACGTTTTTATGGCTCATACTTTTGCGAGGCCTCACTGGGTTTGGCATTGGAGGCGCTCCCCAATCGATAACATTGTACTCCGAATTCCTACCGTCTAAATATAGAGCTAAATGCTTGATACTTATAGAGATATTTTGGGGTTTGGGGACGTGCTTAGAAGTTCTACTTGCTCTGATCGTTATGCCTACTTTAGGTTGGCCTTGGCTTTTAGCCTTCTCAAGTTTACCCCTCCTTGTATTCTCCTGTTTTTCACTAGAGTTGCCGGAAAGCGCCAGGTACCACGTGGCTTGTAAAGATTTTGAATCTGCTTATAAAATAATCGAACGAATAGCTAGAGAAAATAAGAGACCTTTACCCATAGGAACTCTGGTTGAGGATGATGTGGTAAATCAACCCCCATCCAAAAATCCCAGCACTTTTAGCGATACTACAGATTTGCTCGATACCCATAGAGGGAGGTTTAAAGACCTATTCGCAACAAACATCAGAATAACAACGTTTTTATTGTGGATAATATGGATGGTGAACGCCTTTTCTTATTATGGAATTGTTTTAATGACAACCGAATTGTTTGAATCTGGTGACAAATGTCATGGTGGCACAAGTAAACATTTATCACCTTCGTGCATGTTGGATTGTCACCCTTTACAAAGATCTGATTATGTAGATTTATTGTGGACGACATTGGCTGAATTCCCTGGTTTGTTTTCTACAGTATTCATGATCGAAATTTTAGGAAGAAAAATTACGATAGCCATAGAGTTTTTTGCCTTTTCAATTTTTGTTTTCTTGCTTAACATTTGCAGCAATAGAACCATGATAAAAACTTTCATTTTTATTGCTCGTGCCGTTATATCAGCCTGTTTTCAGGCTACTTATGTGTACACTCCGGAAGTCTATCCCACGACTATAAGGGCAATGGGCGTGGGTACCTGCAGCATGATGGCTCGTGTAGGTGCTATACTTACTCCTTTTGTAGCTCAGGTATTATTAAAAACTTCTGTGAGGTCTGCGATTGATATTTATGCAGCTTCATGCATTATCGCTGGTATATGTGCCCTTTTTCTGCCCATAGAAACAAAAGGCCGCGAAATGAAGGATACAGTTACGACCAGATAGAAGATATTCCTAAGATAAAGGACCATTTATATTTTGGGCGAATATATCTAAACCAGTCGCTCTCTAGTCTTTATAAATATTTTCCAAAAAAAACTTATTTACCTAAGAAACAATTTGATATGGTTATTCAGATCCAAATTTTTTTATCTTTAATCGCCAATGGATTTTGAAAATTATAATAATAACATTTTACAATATTCACTAAAATATTACCAATATATTTGTAACATTAGACGGCCATATATATTTATAATTTATTATTAATTAAAACGCATAAATCATAGACGTTGCATTTATTTTATTTGCAAAATGACAATTTCTATTTATTTTAATGATAAAACATTATATCTCTATATTTTGTGTGTTTTCCTCTTAAATTTAAAGCTTAATTATTATTTATATATTAAAATTTAATTTAAATGATCGAGAAAAATTCATATTATTTATATAGTCAATTAATTATTTTTACAGTTTGGGTATTTTGCTTTCAGAAACTCATCTATTATAGAAGAATTTCGCTAACAATTTTTTTTCCTCGCATAAATAATTTATTTACGATTTTATTAAAGTCTATTTTTCACTGAAAAATAAAGAATATAAAAGTGATTTGCCTAAGTGAAAATTTAAAAAAGGGGCAGAATGGCAATGCGTAATATTTTCAAATATCACGCATTTAAGATGAAAGAAGAACGCGTCTAAATTCTGGCTTATATTCATTGTTTCTACTTATATGATAATATCAAAATTGGAAATTAGATTTTGTAAGATAAATTGACTAATAAATGTTTCATATTAATTTTCATATATTTAATAGATAATAAAAAAAAAATTAATAAGTATAAAATTATTAGAGGTATTTCATTATTTAAATCTAACATATAACAGTAAGTTAGAGAATAAAATAAATATGTTATGTTAGGTGTATATTTCATCCATTTAGAATAAGTGGGGTCTTAGGCCTCGCCAAATTATTGGCCGAACCTTAAGGTTATTTTTATCACCGTTTATCACGAGCCACGGTAATGGGTTTGGACCGAAAAGGCAGAACTTTAAGGCAGAGTAGTCTCAACAGGCCTGAGACGATTTAGATCTAACTCAAGGAAATTGCTGTGACCACATCTGATATTTTAAATTTCCTAGTTTGTTTTTGTTTATCTCATGACCTGTTAGATTCTACATGTTTATAATAAAAATTAAAAAAATTTATTAAATAACATTTCTAATATAAATATTAGCCCTAATTCATATCTGTCAAACCTTTAACTAACCTAATCCATATCTTTATAACCTTTAATTTTACTCCTTACCACAGTTATAAGTTTTCATTTAAAAAAATATGTTTTTATCCAATTTAAAAATATCCTTCAGATGAACAATCCTTTAGTTAAGCTGCAAACTGTTTGATTCAAAAATCTCTAATAAAATATTATTAGAATTAAAAATTTGATGAATATTTGTTATTAGTGAGAACCATTAGTATTCTAGATTTTCGCAATTATTTTTAATACTAAATTAGAATTTACGTAAATTTTGGTTATATCTACATTATTTTTTTGTCATTCTTTAAGCTCGTTAATCTTTCGTCTCGAGACAACAGCTGGGCTAATTATCTCATTATGCAGAAAAAATCATAAATTCTAGCCAGAGGGCAGTTACCTAGTGCCCTCTATCATGGTGGGGAAATGATACAATCACTTCATTAGAATCGTATAGATTAAGTTGTAGGGCCATCATACTTATTTAAATATAATGTTAATTGAGGTTAACACTAAAAGAATGAAAAATAATTTTTTAAAGTTTAAAACTGAAACTGAAGAATAGATAAAGTATGAACTAAAATTAAGAAAATTTGACCAACCATGTCCAGAGGAAAGATTATAACATATGAATTTTTTAGGGCTAGTATTTATATTGCATTCATTGATATAACCATTAATTAAATGAAAAAAAAACAAATATGTAGCATGAAACTTATTAAAAGTGTCTTTTATTTTTTAAACCCACAAAATTTCTTAAATTTTTTATCGAAAACTATCTTTAATTAAACTATTGAAAACATATTATTACCATAATTTAGATTAATTATTCTGTGATTAAATTTTTTAAGGAAAGAGACCGAATATTTTTTACTGGCTGGCGAATCGTCCAAACGCAACAAATAATCGTAATTAGAAAATGTAACATCTCTATTCATATAAAAATTAATATATTTTTTCAAAGGGAATTTTAATTAATTTCGAAAAATGTACATCGGTGAGAAAAGAGACACTAGAAAGATCTGTGTGATTCGGCCCGTTAAAAATCTCGGTAAGTAGGTCGAGCTAAAAAAATACAAGCCGAGATATTTGGGCAAAATATTTTATAGGCAAACTCGAAATTTTACAATTTTATTAAAACCTTGAATAATTCAAATTTGTGATTTACCCTTCACAAAATATTATTACGTGTGGGACCAGAAAGGTACAAGATTTTTTACAGGCCGGGTAAAAATCTATGCTGACAGCACCACACATCTTTTTTAAATTCTTGACGGCCACTATAGGCGCATCCGTCTTCTTCTTCTTTATCATGCATATGGTCCGACAGTCGTGGGGTTTGTTTTGATAAGTTTCTTCCATCTTGATCGAGTGAGGGCCATGTCCGGATTTATCTTCTTAGTCATCATAACTTTGTCTACTTGACCTTTCCACGTAACACGAGGTCGTCCTCTTCCTCTCTTCCCCGGCACCTCCATGTCCAAACTTTTCGATTTACATCCTTCGTCTGTTGATGTCAAAATAGACACACGACATGCATATTTAAAAGTAACACGAATTCTTGACATACCGAAATATATTTTTAGGCGACATGTATGTCGCAGGGTTATAGCAAATTCATGAAAATTAAATCATTATAAAGTACATCGTTTTTTGAATGACAATTTTTAATCCGAAATCGTATTCCAGCAAATATCTAGTACTACCCTGTAAATTTCAGACAATTTTGTAGTGAACTCTTTAACTTAATAAATGAATTGGACTTATTTTGAGTCATTTTTTATGTTCCCTGTACCCGGACCCTGAACCAGGACCCTTTTTTAAATTTTATTCCTGTACCCGAACCCGGACCTGGACCCATTTTTTTTGTTGAAGGGTTCACATACCTGATAAACATAAAAAATGTATAAACCAATTTTATTTTAAATGTAATTCTCATAGGCCTAACGCCACATGTGTAGTGAAAATCAGGCTGAGATAAAGAATCGTTTCTTTGATTATGAATTTTTGCACTATACCTTTGGAGAAAACCCATAGTCAACTTCAAACTTTTGCCTATATCTAATATTATTCCCCACAACTCCAACATTATTAGTGTCATGCTTAGGGGCAGCCAGGGTGATCACCTTGGACCTCTAAGGCATCAAATCAACCAAAATCGTTAAACAATGTTAACGATTCATTTTCCCATTATATTGTCACTAAAAATTCTAAAATATAATTGAATTATGGCAATTATTAATCGTTTTAAATTTAAAAAGTAGGGGAGACCGGGGATGGTTGGGACATTTTTCGTTCAATCTGAATAAGTAAAATATCTTTCAAAAGTATAGGCTATTTGAAATAATTAATATATATTTTATAAAGATTATATTTCTTTAGAAAATTGAATTTAAAAATAAATTATTTTTGTCCTAACCATGACAGACTCTGTGTACGATGGGACACACATATGTGATAGTTGGGCACTCATGTAATAGAGGTCTAAATAAATTAAAAAAATTTTAATCAGTAATCCAGTAAGACTAGAGACTATAACACCTTTGATTTTATTGATAATATTGTAATTCATAACCAAATACTATATAAAAAAAAATTTCACAAAATTTAGGAAATTTCTAAAGAAAATTTTTTTTTAAACATAAACATAGTGAAAGATAAGTATTTAATTACATTTATTGCACATAATAAATCATCAAATTTGGCACAACTTTTATGTGCCCATCCAGTACACTTATGCATTGGAACCAATCTTCCTTTTCTTATTTTTTTATATTTTTTTGTGACATAAAATGCAAATATTTTCATTTATTTTTTAAATATTTTTGGTTAATCTAAACTTCTTTTCATTTCCTGTGTTATCAGAGGTAATATAAGTTTTTCTGAGATTTTGTCTCCACTTTTTTTATTATTTATTTTTGATAATAAAATCTTCTTATAGGGTGAATATGTAATATTTTAGATATTTTCCTTTTTATGTTGTCTATATTTCTCACAAATACAGGAAATAGATATATATTCTCAATATCAAGTAAATTATCTTCTTTATATTGGCTTATATCATTAAAATTTTGAGAAGTTGTAGCCTCTTGTGACTCTATGGCCAGTAAGGTATTATTTTCTAAATTTACAGGATTCGAAATTTAATGGTTCAGGTGTTGATTTTTCTAACATTGTCTTTAAAATTTTGGGCAAATAAACTATTTCATTAAATATATTAGAATTATATAGGATATATGCCCGTTACCTCAAATGATTTAATAATGCTTTTATTAGTTAGGGTCGGTGGTAACATATCTTTTATTAAATGTCATAAATATTAAATAATTTATTTGGATTGCTGCGCATCCAGTAACCTAAGGAGTTATTATAATATTTTTTTAATGGCTCAAAAATGCACCTGTCAACGGGTTGCATCTTAGAGTGGTATGTGGAGGTAAGGATAGCAAGATAATGCCAGATTTTAAGCTAAAATCAATAGCACCATGAGATTGGTGCGAACTATGATTGTCTAGAATCAATAACACAGGCTTTTCAGGGAGTGGTCTCACATGATCCGCAAAATGTTCTAAATAATCTGTAAATTCCGTTTCTTACATCCAACCTGACCCATTTGAGCGGCCTATACAACTATTAGGTCCATCTTTTATAAAATGATCAAAAAAAATTTTTCTTTGGGAAAAGGATAGATAGGATGGCATTCCCTACAGCATTAATAGCGAGAACTATGGTAGGGTTCCTCTT